GGGGCAGAGGGGCAGAGGGGCAGAGGGGCAGAGGGGCAGAGGGGCAGAGGGGCAGAGGGGCAGAGGGGCTGAGGGGCAGAGGGGCAGAGGGGCAGAGGGGCAGAGGGGCAGAGGCAGAGGCAGAGGCAAGGGAATCTCTGAATTTAAGGCCAGTCTGGTCTGCAGAATGATTTCCAAGACATTTGAAACTACACAGAGAAACCCTGTCTTAAACAAAGAAACCAAAAAACAACAAGAAGGAAAAACATGGGGTAGGAGAGCTAAACATAGGTGCAGCCCTTGCAGAGGAGTTAGATGTATTTCCCAGCACCCATATCGAGTGGATCACAACTGTCGGTGACTACAATTCCAGGGGATCCTATTATGACTTTTACAGAGACATACACATACATGATGCATGCACACGCATGCACACATAGTCAGGCACACACATATACACATAACATGGGAAATAATGTTTTAAAAGACTCATAAGGGAACAGGGAAAGAAAATAAAGATGCTAGCTTCAGTAAACCACTTAGCCTAGTGTGTTATGCAATTGTAACCTGTCTTTTGTCTAATGGTTTGAACAAAGGACTAGAAGTAGTACTTGAGAAAAAGTATGCGCTCAAACATTTAATAGTTTTGAAGCTTTATGAATCCAGCTTCCTGCTAGGGAGTCATTTTTTTGAGTAGGGAAAAGAGAGGCGCTCACCAGGTTCCCCACGGCTCATTTAGTAATCTGCTATTTTTAGTTCCAGGCTTGCCTATTTCAGATGGAGAGCTAATAACCAACGTGCTGTGTGCTGAGCATTCCCAAGTTTAAAATGATAACGATGCAGTTTATCTGAAAATTCCAAGAGTGTCCTGAATAAGACAGAAAGACTTCTGCTCCATGGTGAAGCCAACTGTTCTCACTTCACCAGGCAGTACCAACATGCAGGCCCTCAGTTTTGATCTGAGTCAGAGAGGGAAGAATTGGCTCTTATGAATTAGACGCAGTCCTACTGTGTCTGCTTCTTTGGTTGGTAACTTAGATCGGAGATGATGCTCACCTTTGGCTTCTAATATCTGGAGGAAGGGCTGAAAACTTTCCTCATCTCAAGCACTTACGGAATATAATTGGACAATTTGATGGACTTCTGAGGGTCAGTTCTTATATCATTTGATGATAATGATGCCACTTGAGAAACTCGTTCCAGGGACCAAATAGGGGGATATTTACAAAACCAAGATCATCCAACAGAATAGGCAACTGATTGATGCTTGATTTCTCTTAGCAGAGGCAGGCAGTGGAATTTAGAGGATCTGTGTTCCAATTTTAG